TATCTGTACTTATATCTCTTAGTCCCAATTTCTTTATATCTTTACTATCTTTGTATTTCTTTATTTACTACTTTACTACTACTTTATTTTTTTACCTTAAGTTTATTGATGGCCTTCTTATATAACAACATTTGTCCAAAGACAACAATTTCTAACTATTGAGCCCTCTTGTAATCTAACCCTCCCAAAAGTAAAGCAACCCGTTCTGCTGTCATGTCACCTACCCATTTCTCTAGGGTCTTAAAGCATTTTACACAAGCGGTCGAACGGTAAGGATCTTACTTTATAAAGAATCCGAAACAGAGTCACCTGATTTCAAAAACGGGCTGGAAACTTGGTTATCAGAGAAACTTTGCCCGGAAAACCCTAAGTTCCCGTATCTTATATGCCAGCCAGTTTCTTAAATCAGGTGGCTTTTTCATTACAGTTTCTATGTAAAATAGGTTCCCTATGCAGACTTCTTTTGTAGAATGCTTCCAGGCCATAGAAAAGTGTATGATTGATATGGAAATTGATTGGGGGTGCTTTTCCCTTGGAATTGTTAGTCTGTATGAGGGGTTAAATCAACAGCTAGAAACTGTCGTTTTTGGCTAAACGTTTTTACGTAAGACGTTTTCCAACATCTCTGCTTATATTTAGTCCTGTTACACAGTTCAGTAGGTCGTAGTGATTCGCATCATGTTTGAAACTGTGGTAGAAAATATTGAGTAGAAAACAATGACTGAGAATTGAGAAGCCCTGATTCTGTTTTTTGACAAAGTCATTTTATCCGTGATTAATATATTAATAGCCAACAAATGTATCCTTTTGCTAGATTCTAGTTCACAACCACATTTGCATGATCCTGAATAATCGAAGACATCGATGTAGTTAAGAAACCTGGCGCTGTTTTTGTAATGGTAGTTTCCAAAATACCATGTATGTAACGCCACTACTGTAACGGCTTATAAGATTTAGTGCAGGCCCATCAGGAATGTTTCTTGATAGTTCGTGTATATTTCTGCAAGTGATATGCTGAGTGAAGAACCATTCAGAATGTCATTTGATTGTCCTAATATTACATAAATGTGAGAACTTTCAGAGCTTAGATTTGAAAAAGTCTACTGAAAGATTGGTAGCTCTTTCAATTCTAAAATTTTCAGTTTTAGACTCTGTAGAAGTCGTGAGCAAAACGTCAAGACTTTCTCAATTTTGAAAGTATCGGATGGTACGGGACAGTAATCTCGAATCTCGACGTATTGCTCCTGTCTCGGACCAACACGGCTTTAAAAGATAAGGTTTATACCTTACGCTATTTTAATTCGCTAACAGATGAGTTACGGCGAATTACAGCCCCTAAGGCGCATGCACAGCATGGCCGTATATTCTGGAATAACCATGCTAGAATACCATGTACTTATCCTTCGCTGGTCGCCTTTCGACCGGTTCCGCTGATGCACAGCTGGGTGTATTCCTTGCTCGAGAGAACTGACCGTCAGAAAGAAATGTAACAAAATTTGAAGAGACAAATTTTTCGCCGTGCATTGGAATCAAACCTGACCGCCTTGAATTGGAAAGCAAACATCTTTCTCACCTTGCTTCGACCGGTGTCGCGCCATTAAAAACGTTGCATTTCCAGAAATTCGGTTTCACCGCTAGTTTGCTTGCTCGTAATTCTTTAACATTCCATTTAATTCGCTTTATTTGTGTAACGTTACCGTCCATTTCGTTGTGCTATACCAGAAGAAGACTAAAATCGATTAGTCATTATACCGTTCTTCGTAACATCACCGATGTAAACCTCGTTGAAAGCCATGGTAAATTTCATCTTATTATTAAAGGAGTGATGGAAAAACTTTCGAAACTAAGCTGTATTCACCCAGGAAATTTTCCAAAAACATCCTAACTTAAACTTCTCTATGATCCACAGAGATGATTTTTACATCTTTCATTACACGGCTTAGATTTTTGTCAGGCCAATTGCACTTTGATTCATGAATGATTGAGCAAACTGTTAATCGACTATAGCATAACATTTTATTTGGACAGCCAACATGTTTTTGTTTAGCTCTGAAGGCGGCTTAAAAGAGCAGGACTGATATATCGCATTATGCAGCGGCGTTGCTTTTCTTTCGGTCATGATCTAGTACTGATACCAGTTAGAGTAGCCAAACGCGACAGATATCAGATAAGTAAAACTTGGTGTGTAACTCTTGCATCAGTGGTTAGTG